TTTTTACAGCCGAGACATTGAAAAACTAGTAGAATTTCAAGAACAAGTCATGACTAAGTTAGGAATGTACGCCTGGTTGATTTTCTCATCTTCTCGGGAAATTTTTTCAAAGAAATGCGGTCACTTTCGTGGACAAAGCACCTTACCCTAAACACCTAAAATTCGAACTAACAACAAACATAAAAACAAAACAAATGAGCGAATAGAGCAGAAGAAGTGCTCACAAAAGAACACCACTTGATATAAAACAATAGCGTTTCAGAGGAAGAATTTCAATTTGAAAATTGCTATGGCTTATCGGTCAGCCAATTCGAAAAGAAACACGGCAAAGCTTTTTCGGCAACCTAAGAGTGGAATGTTTAGAAGAGGTCATGAGTAAGTAGAGGGTACATCATTGATTGATTTCTCCAAGGGAAATAAAGTTAGAGCTAGTTGTCGGTTTGGTCAATTTTTGTCGGCTGGACCTCCCATTTCGCAGGCCTAAAATTTGAAAACCCTGGAACAAGGTGGAAGAGAACATAGCATCTTGTAGAGCAGACAATTCTCTTTCGAATGGTATATGATGTAAAAGCATGGGGATTTAGATGAAAATTTTTGGTTGAAAAAAAGCGACACTACTTATGAGACAACCTAATACCTGCGAAATAGGGAGAAATTTCTTGAATCCTCCAAACAACCTAATCACAAAATCATTATTCGCTGAAGGAAGAGACTTTGGAAGGGAAGGAAGGAAAGGAAGGGCTGAAAATTCAAAGTGAAAAAGGACTTTTCATGTGGGTTGTTGATATCCCGCTACGTCTAACAAGGGAGGTCGTTCAGGGTGTGCCAAGCTTTTTCAAAATGGTTTCTTGCATGACATTGGGGCACATATGGGGACCACAGAAGCATGGTTCATTTTTCCTGAACGGCCCTCTGAATACCAGAAAAGGGGTCCCTAGTTCGATTCCTCGTGGTGACAAATTTTTGCATTTCGAGTTGACGTTTCAAAATTCGCGCAAAATGGAGTTAGCATGAATAATTAGTACCAAATTCATGATTAGGAACGTCAGTAACCCTTACAAATAGACTTTGATTGAAAAACTGGTGAAAAAGGTGTGACTAGGGACCCCCTTTTCTGGTATTCAGAGGGCCGTTCAGGAAAAATTAACCATGGTTCTGTGGTTCCCGCATGTGCCCTATATCATGCAAAAGACCGTTTTGAAAAAGCTTGGCACACCCTGAAAGACCTTCCTTGTAAGGAACTATGTAGCAGCATGTTTTTGCTTGAATAGTTTTTACCTCATTTATTAGGATTACTGCTTCATGCTTCATCTAAAAAACCCACCACAAAGGAATGAAGAAACTTCAGCACAACCCAGGCAGAATCGTTAGAAATTGAGTATAGCCCGCTCCCTACC